ACAAAAAGATAATGAAATATATAAAGTAGCTACAGGAAATAGAACTAGAAAACATTTTGTAGGTGGCTATTTAAGGACATAATTTTCTGACTCTCAAGTCTCAAGCAGCACTGGATAATATTCCCAAGTCAATCAAACTATTCTCAACTCAATCAAATTATTCCAACTCATAAACAATACTTAATTGTGCTCTTATGTAATGTGAATTGTTATTATAAGGCAATACCGGGTGGCCCAAAAAAAAGTAAGTACTCCTGTTTGATTCGTAATAACATCTAAACAAGTATAGCTTTTAAAGAGAAATAACTTGCATCAAATAGAGGAAGGACTAACTTAGACTTTGATATATTACAGTTGTATTTCACTTAAAAATTCACGGAGATATTAATCTTTAAATTCGGGAGGATATTTCTGGATGTGTCTGAAATATGCAAAAATCGGCGTGTCAAATATTAATCAAGATTTGCCCGACTGAAACATGCACTATTACCAGTAAATAAATGACACTTGACAAATTGTTTATTATGAAACAAAGTATTATTATATCTACAAAATACAAGCAAGATTCATTCGTCCGAAATTCGCGTGTGTTCCTAGCACGAATACGTTTCCTTATTTCATGAGACCACTGCATCGCGAAGGATTGTCATTGGATCGTTCGTAGTTCTGAATTAGGGCATGCTGTCACAACGGAATTGTGAAGCTCTTCTAACTGCTGCAACGTTCTGAAATCTTGTTAAGAACACCCAAACTCTTTTGCCGTTTCTTAATCTTGGCAAGTTCATGGAGTAAACTGAGAATTATATGAAACACAATCAAACCATACAACTCCATAAGACATAACAATTAAGCAACTCCCCAGAGACATGCAACATTTTTGGAACAAAGCGTAACAAAATAGTAGCGTTGATACGGTGATGTGTATTTGCAAAAAGCAATATTATTTCCTTCAATAAAGAATATTCATCCTGCTCTAACCGAGAAATAATCTACTCAGTCTGTTTGAACCCATTAAAAACATAAAAAAAATTAGGCTATTTAAGAATACGAAAAATTTAAGCGCCTGCCTTCCATGGTCAGTCTTTCATGTACATTTAAGTTTGCAAAGACCTAATATTAAATACTTGCATAATTTCGAACGTTCATATTTCAGGAAACAATGAGCTAAGACTTACATTAATATCTCCGTGAATTTTTAAGTTAAATACAACTGTAATATATCAAAATCTAAGTTAGTACTTCCTCTATTTAATGCAAGTTATTTCTCTTTAAAAACTTTACTTGTTTAGAAGTTATTACGAATCAAACAGGAGTACTTTTTTTTGGGCCACCCGGTACATTCTTCCATCTTTGTTTCATCAGCATCCAATCTGTATTGTTTCTTCTATATTTATTCCTCTCTTTAAATTTGTTTCTGATTGGTTAACCACTACATGGTTGTTATAACCACATCTCCACACTCATCACCATGTTTATTCGATGTTAGTGTTGTACAATCTGTAATGTTTCCATGAGCTCAAGGGTACTATAGTACAGCATAATAGAAATTTTATTCAGTATGTTCAATCATGTCATGTAAAGAAATTCAATATATTCTGCTACCAGAAAATTCATCTGGAGATTGATGACTGATTTATGAATTACAAAACAATAATCATCCAATAACTCAATCCCAGTAGCATTTTGATAACAGCTCACCATATAAAGATGAAATCAATTTTATCCTTGACTGAATTAAGCTATAGTACTGAGCCGAGGTGAAGTACTACAAATATACATCAATACATGTCTTGAACAAGTTGAATTATAAACTCAGAGATCCCATCTTTCCTCAGACAGTAAATGAATAAAATTGCCCTAGCTTAAAAATTGTCACAAATTCACAGTGAATTAGAGATCCAGTCTCGACTCTGGAGAATGAAATAATCAAATGTAAAACAAATATTTACCTTTATATGACAGTATAACTTCGACATGGCGAAGCGCTTGACTGAATTTCAAATAAACACATGTTAAAGGCATCCTTGTTGGCATAATATGCTTTCTTTCTTCTCATATTGTTTCAATGATTTGTTATTAATCGGATTTCACTTCATAAAAGTCACAAATTGTTGAAAATCTTTTCGAAACTGTGTATTCACACTCCTTGTATCAACAAATGTAGAATCGTGCGTATATTATGCAATCGAACTGGAAACCATGGAAACGAGAGATAAGTAGTCTACCAAAACAAAAAGAATCACACATGCGCAGCACGGACTGTAACCCGTCTTTAAGGCAATGGATTAAATTAAGTTTTCATCTAGCTATAATACAGATTAAATACATGTGTACATTTGAAAAATGAGAAATATCGATGAATATATATGAAATATCGATGAATATTGATAATAATCGATAAAATTGGCTATAACTTTTTGTGACTATCGATTTGGTCATCGATTGACATAGATTGACCAATGTCAATCGATATCAATTAAGTAATGAACATCGATTACCATTGATTGGATTTCCGATGATCTTTATGTTTAAGTTTTCATCTAGCTATAATACAGATTAAATACATGTGTACATTTGAAAAATAAGAACATATTTACTATTTCGCTAGAAAACACCGACACTGGGCCTATTTAGGATATAAATCGATAAAAATCGAAAAACATTTCGTAGATAAAAATCACATTGAGCACACACACACAGCACATTGAGTAAATGTTTATGTTTATTAATATGCACTGCATAACATGAACAAACACCCAATATGCTGTGTATTCAGTAAAATGCAAAGTAAGTCTATTTTAATCATTAAGTCTTTAGTGTTTACATTTCTTTCAACTAATAAACCCCTTTGAGGTGAGGTCATGCACATACGTACTAGCTGTAACTACAGCTTTCAACAGTTGTTTATTTTTCTTTTTCCATTTCAAATGTCACATACTGCACATTGCTGGGACCAGAGTAGATGAAACTTATAATATAACTTTCACACAACTGTTATACCATATCTTTCACACAGCTGTTTAATAGCCAATCAGAATTGCACCATATTTACACATTCATTAACTAGTGCTTCCATTCCTCACATTAATTTCGTTGTGGGATTTAATATTACTTTGAATATTACTTTGGGGATTTTTCTCAATTTTTTTTCCGAGAATTTATGAGAGTAAATCCTCAAATTATAATTTAATTTATTTGTGAAACAGGACAATAATTTTATGGTCATATGCATGATATTTCTCTTACATGGAAACGTTGTTGCACCCTTTGTGTAGTGGAAGCACCATCAATAATATAGATGCTGTCTATCCCCTACTCGTTCATAAGGCAACATAAAATAAATTCCTTGATTCTCATCACCGCCCGACTGTATTTTAAGAGCTGTGTGAAATTTTTTTATTTTGTTATACAATATAAATGAACCGCCCGACAAAATATTTCAAGACAGTTAAGTTTTTACTCACTGGGGCACCTGTGCCCGGGTGAGTATAGGTTTCGCCACACATTTTTGGTGGATGTCAGATCGTCATTGATAGCCACAAAATAGAACATTAATCAGCTGCCAATTTTTACCCAAATTATCCATAAGCCTCCTTCCAAATTGTACCCAAATTATCCATAAATAACCCTAAGTTTTGAGGAAATTTAAAGAATTTTACTAGAAAAGCCAAAATTGACATGGAAACAGTGACCTTAAACTGGACATGGAAACAGCGACCTTTGCAGTTTTTAATCAATATTTTACAACGCTTTGAGACAATTTGAGAAGAAATATTTAATAGGGTAAAGAGATCCTTACAACGATGTTTACGGTAAGTAAATGTGATTTATTTTTAAATATGTTCACCTCGCATGACTCTGCACCTATTCGTGGTAGACCTACACTAAAAGATGCTGAGCGATTTCGAACCGGGTCGATCATCCACAAATCGAAAAATACCTTCGGGTACGAAAAAACTTGCCAAAAATACTGCCAACAATTGCCAAAACTTGCCAAAAATACACACAAAGTTGCCAAAAATATTATACAAAAAGTGAACAAAAATGTGACAAAACTACTACTGAAATGACAAATATTATAAATACACAAACAAATTTACAACAAACAAACGTAAACTCAAAGCCAAGCTGCTGCTGTACTGTCAACGAGCACATGGTCAACAATTTGTCGATAATGTTGAGCAAAGATGGTGTGGGGAACAAGAATGTGTCCATAGATCAATGTATGTCAGGTATAAATATATCTAACAACTGTATTTCTAAATTTGACCTGAATAAAATAACAAGTCCATCAAAGCCTACGCGTATATGGAAACTCCGTGTGATCACGACATGCATTATTTTATAACGTCTGCACACAAAAGCTTGTTAATACTGATGTTACTACCACTGGTTGCCATTTACGTCACTGTGACCGTGAACCCAGTAGAATACAGGTGAAATGGTTAACTAGGTCGAAATATGTGGAACTGAAATGCATGTAAAATTACAAGCTAATATTCAAGGAGTAGTTAGTAACATGGCAGAAAGCAAACTAAATATTGAAAGCCTTATTTGTCATACTAATTAAAACACAGGTTTTTTAATTTGGCTTGGAGATTATTGCATGTCTTGCATCTTTAAAAAAAAATCAGTTAAGAATATGTCGTACTCAATATTAGCATATGATGATGATGATAGCTTACCTACCTCTACTGTACATTTTGTTAAAAACATAAAAGACAAGCACACATTAGTTGATGCCATCTTTAACCTAGCAAACACCAAAATGAAGGATGAAATTTTAAATTATGAAATTCAATTCTTGTCTTGTTCTTCTGAATTGACTAACTGTGAAAGAAAAAGGATTATGAAAAATCACAGACAGAACTATATTAATGAAATCACCACACCAGCTCTAAAGAAACAGAAGCTAGAAACAAAGCAGATGAAATACAAAACGATAGATCCATTAGTAAAACAACAAGTTAACTCTAAAACGTGTAAATGATTACAAAATTATGGCTAAGGAGAAAAAACAAAAAATATTGGAAAATAGAAGAACAATATATGAAGTGTTAGATAAATCAAAGAAAGAGGAAGTACTGACTAAAAATATGAGTTATAAGGAAACAATGGGAGAAGAACAAAAACAGAAACTATTAGAAAACAAAAGAGCAAAGTATCAAGTAATGGATATATCAAAGAAAAAGGAGTTGATTGCTATAAGCTCGAGCAAAATCATGTCACATTGCATGTTGTTGAATTCACAACAAAAAAATGATTTGCTGAATAGAGAAAAAGAAAAAAGGATGGAAAAGAAATCTCAAATTCATGACATTGACACATACATTGATGAGTTTAAAAAACAAATTAAAGCTGGTCCATTTTACATATGCTGTGTGTGTAACCGAACATTGTATAAAAACTCTGCATAATTACTCTACAGAAAAATAAATATCCACGCCAAGATTGTTTTATGCCTAAATGTTCTTTTGATGGCAAAGATTATGTCTGCAAAACGTGCCATGCTAAACTACTTAAAGGTCAACAGCCTTGTCAAGCTGTGGTAAATAATTTATTTGTTGATGAAACTCCCACTGCACTTGCTCCATTAGAGAAACTTGAACAAATTCTTATTGCACAAAGAATAGTCTTTGAAAAAATTGTAGTAATGCCAAAAGGACAACAAAGAAAGATCAAAGGTGTAATGTACCAGTTGAATGTAGTCAAACATGCAATGTTCTTCCCAGCCCACCTGACAGATCTGGAATAATTTTACTTAAATTAAAAAGGAAACTTCAATTTAGAGGTCATGTTTACTTTCGCCCTCAGTTTGTAATTAATGCATTAAACTGGCTTATAGCAAACAACCCTTTATATAGAAACATTGAAATTCAATGTGACAATATTAGCTCAGACTTAACTAATTTGAACTGTCCTGATACTGATCAAGAAAATATAGATGAGCCATTGCAATTGCAAAGTAATGTAAATAGAGAACTGTGTAATGAAGATGTTGAAGAATAAGATGTTGAAGAATAAGATGATCCATTAAATGAACACCGTTCAGCAGCAAGCGAAACCTGTCTTCAGTCCATCTTGCCAAACTATCCTGTTAACCTGGACAATACAAACTGTAATTCAACAGGTAGAGAAGTTTTCAACATTGCACCAGGTGAAGGTAAACATCCAGTATCATTGATGACTGATAAGCTTTGTGAGGAACTCTCATTTCCAGTACTCTTTCCAAAGGGACAATCCGGTTATACCTATGAACGAGACATCAAATTATCTCCAATAAAATATTTCAATGCTCGCCTCTTGCATTATAGTGGAAAATTTGCAACCAATCCAGAGTATCTATTCTTTGCACAATTCATTATGGAACAGAAAAAGATTTCTGATAGTATTAATATAGCTCTTAAAAAAGTATGTGGCCAGTTAGTCACAGCATCGCATCGCAGGTAAAGTCAAACAGTCAAGCTTTTCAAAATCTTCTTTTGCAAGATCAAGCATATTTGTTTTTACGACAAATTCCTGGCTCACCTCCTTACTGGCAAAAATTCATGTATGAAGTGGTAGCAATGATTAAACAGCTGGGAATACCAACATGGTTCATGACCTTATCGTGTGCAGATTTAAGATGGCCTGAGCTATTTCAGATAATTGCAAGAATAAAACGCAACAACATAACAACTGAAGAAGTAGAGGCCCTGTCGTATCATGCGTGATGCTCAATGTTAAATTTAAATCCAGTTATTGTAGCTAAACATTTCCAGTATCGAGTCGAAACATTTTTCAGGGATGTTTTGCTCACAAATGCAAACCCAATTGGTAAGATAGTATATTATGCACTCCGTATCGAATTTCAAATGAGAGGTTCACCACATTTGCATGCCTTAATATGGACATCTGATTGCCCAGAATTAACGAACGATACAAAAGATGCATACATATATTACATTGACCAACATGTACAAGCATACCTCCCAGACAGAGAAACAAATCCTGAACTTTATGACTTGGTAAAAACGTACCAGACACATAATCACAGTAAAACCTGTAGAAAGTATAAGAATGTTACATGTAGATTTATAACTTTGGACAGTTTTTTACTGACAGAACAATTGTTGCTGAACCTTTCGCTGATGATATTGATGATGAGATTAAATCAAATATTCTAACCAGACGAAAGGAAATTTTGTCTAAAGTTAAACAAAGAATTGATGATGTGCTAAACCCAAGCAAACCTTACTTATGACCCACATGCAACTCCAATTAACATTCTAAATGAAATAGATATTACAGAACAAGACTATCAATGGGCTTTATCACTATCTCCAGATTCGGACCATGAATTGCACCTGAAACGACCAATAGACAGTTGTACTACTTTATTGCTGGTTTAAAAGGATTTGCTGCAAATGTTGACTTGCAACCAGTGTTTAATCATTATAAGTGTATTACATTCGTTTGTTCTTATTTACAAAGGATGAAACTGAATGTTCTCAAGCCATCATAAATGCAGCAAAATGTAAGAGATGGCCAAAGAAAAATAGGTGCAGCTTTTCTCTCGACTCGTGAAGTCAGTGCTCAAGAATGCGTTTACAGATGTATGCCTGAACTCTGGTTAAGAAAAACATTCCTGAAAACCCTCTTTGTTAGCACGGATTTTGCTGAAAATCGTGTTAGATTTGCGAAGAAACAACAAGAATTTGATGAGTTAGATGATGATAGTACTGACATTTTTAAGTCTAACATTATTATCCGTTACAGTGACAGACCGAAAAAAATTCCTGTCGTTAATGATATGTATTTAGCTTTATTTCCGATTCTCAACCTGAAGTTTTAAGAGATGACCTCATTGAATCTCAAAATATCGAAAATCATAACACTGGACTTCCCAATCGAATAAAACTTGTAAACAGCAAAGAAATTATGAAGTGCAGAAAAATTAAAGCTGTCATTCGATATCACACTCCAAACAAAAGAAAAGAACCTGAAAAATTTTTTCACCACCTTCTCATATTGTATTTTCCGTGGCGTAACGAGCAGGAACTCGTTGGCGAAGACCAGACATACATATCTAAGTTTTATGAGCCAGATGTGCAAGAGGTAGTACAATGCAACAAAGAAATATTTGAGCCAGATGGTGCTGCTATTAATGAAGCACTAGAAAGTTTACGAAACTTTGATGGCATACCAACTCACTCCTATGATCCAATAAATGACCAGGAAAATGAAGATTTGCAACAAAGTTTACCTGACGATTCTGATGAAACTGAGTCTTTTAACGAATCGTTGCCACAACATCTTGCATCAAATCCCGAATCAGTTCAACCATCTTCTGGAATAAGTTCTTATAATCAACCCTTAGAAATCAGTGATGACGATCTACGAAAAACTGTAAGATCATTAAACAGCAAACAACGTTATGCATATGACGTAGTTCTTTCCTGGTGTCGAAATAAGATGGCCAACCTAAACACCCTTAAACCATCTAAAGTAGATCCAATAAATGTTTTTGTTACTGGAGGTGGAGGTGCAGGGAAATCACACTTAATTAAAGCTATATATCATACTGTTACAAAAACATTTAGACATGCTCCAATGAATCCTGAATTACCTTCTGTATTGCT